TTTCAACATATAGACCCGAGTAAATTGTAACCGAAAGCACCTCAACTGGTTTGTTTCAAATATTTACGAACCTGAAACTATTGGGTAGAGAAAAATAAAAGCATTTTTCAAAAATCAAATGACCTCTTTATGGCACCCCTTTAGGTGTGTTAAAAAAGGGAATTCGCTGATGTAGGTGACGCATGCCACATCTAATCAAACTACTATGTAACTCTATTGCATCATTCGTCATTGAATGATACACTATTTAGCCAAAAAAGGTCACGATAAACTTGTGCCTTTTTATGTCAAAATATTGTTCGATAGAAAAGCATTTTCTACCCTTTAAATGATTCGTGTTCGCACATAAAACTTCGATGATGCTATCGATTTATCGCTTGAATTATGACAGCTACAACTTCACCACTTGCGAGAGTTTTTGTGCATTTTCTATGCTTTGTCAACAGAACGTTTCAAGATTGGAAAATAAAACTCATGTGACTTTCAGCGGGGGAAAAAAAGAAAGTGGAATTTAAGAAATTCCGTGACTCTTATTAGAAGGCACAACAGAGATTGTCTCCAATCACACAACTAACCTGGAAGATGTATTCAGATGGATTGTGAGGGAGATTGAAGACAAGGTAGCAGAGTCGTCCACATCCATCCTATAAATACAAGATTTGATCCAAAGCAGCAGTGATAAAATTGACGACAAATCCCTAAACAGGATAGACTGATCTCCCTAATTTTATTCAAATTTTCTTAGAGTAAGAAATGAGGGCATTTGAAATTATTGGGGGAATTCTCATTCTGGGATTATGTTTCAGATTTGAGCAAATTTGCAGGAAGTGGGAGTAATAGCGACTTTTTTGAAAAATCATTGGAGACTTGTAAATGACCTTAGGACAGAGAAGCTCCTTGCTTTCTCGCGGTTCTTCTTCAATCCAGCTGGCTTCACGATCCTTCAGGCGGATGTATCGGACCTGAACAAGAAATTTTTGTGATTTCGAGAAAAACGTACACCTGTGCAAAATATTTGAGAGAGCACTTAAATAAGTCACCACTATAGGGCATGCTCAAGAAAAATTTGGGTTAAAATATGGAAAGAAAGGTTTCTAGCATTTCAAATGCCTCTGCTTCTCCGATAGATCGATAATAAATTATTGTCAGAAATTTGTTAAATATTGTTTGTTTGGCAAAAATTTCGTGGTTTTTTGCATAGAAATGGCTCAATAAGTCACTTTGAAAACTCCTTCGTTACCTGATAATCTGAGGCCATGTTCAATTCCACAGGCTCCCAGCTCATCGAAACGGCAAAGTTCGTCTTATCGCACTGCTTCAGATTCTTCACCAAGAACCAACCAGGTGGAAGGGTGGCATACGCTCCCCAGGCAACCTCATTATGATCCTTTGGCTTGAGTGTCACATTGTAAACAGTGCTGGGATGCAATCCGCGGATGACATAATCGGACTCCCATGGCTCCACATCGAATGTTTTCACTTGGTTTATACGAACGTTTTTGTAGACAGAAT